GAGACTGAGGATTTTAGTTCCACTAATGAATATTTTTCAATTTTCCTGGAAGTGTTATATTTTTTTAAAAATAACATAATTTTGCTTCAATCAGCCGCAATCTTGTTTTTTTTTTTTTTTTTTTGGAGACAGAGACTCACTCTGTTGGCGGGGCTAGAGTGCAGTGGCAATTAATTTCTATTTTTAGTACAGACGGGGTTTGCTCTTGCTCAGGCTGGTCTACAACTCCTGACCTCATAACGAATCCTCCTGCCTTGGCCTCCCAGAGTGCTAGAGATATACGGCATGAGTCCACCACGCTCCGGTCTAGCTTCTATATCTGTCTGAGCAGATTATATATATATTGTTAAATTTATATATATACATATACTTGTCATATATTATTTTAAACTTCATTTATATCAGTTTCCCTTGTAATATATTATCCTGGCATCTGATACATTTTATGCCTCGTGAGTCCTCATTCCTAACGTCCTTTTGGGTCTCCCTCTGTTTAAGTGAGTTAGGTGCTTTTCTAGAGATCGACCTGATAGACTGTATCTTTGTTGACATGTCCTATCTTCTTCTACAGACAGACAGCAGGTGTGATGGTCTATAGTACCAGATTTTTCCCAGGTGTTTCCCAAAATAAGACAGGGTCTTGTATTTATTTTTCTCCAGAAGACACCCTAGGCTCATTTTCAGGGGATGTGTTAATTTTCTGTAAGTACGGTACAACCATCTCCATTGATTCAAATAGAGTGAAGTCGTCTTCTTCTGGACATCATCCTCAACTCCTCCAAACCCCGAATCCCAACCTGAATTGTCTTGCACTCTGTTTCCTTTAGAACCATCCCGATCTCTCCTGTGGAGCACTAAGAGCTCTCACGGGCCGGATGAAAGGGCTGCTTGTTCTTCACCGCTCCGCGAAGACACTGCATTGAGTTGTGGCAGATGTGGCTGCGCAGCCACGCCCACCATAATGGCTTATTTACCCATAGCCACGCCACCATCACTAGGCGAAACAATAAGACATTCACAGCAGTGGCAAAAAAACAAACTGAAAAACGCGCCAAAATTTAAACTATTTCATAAATACTTACTAATACTTTTTTAACAAGTTGTAAAAAACTTATATATATATCTCTGGAAAAGAATCCTTGATCCCCATAATGAAAACAGAAAATACATGGATACTAATTACATTACATGAATTACCGAATAAATAACATGGAAATTCACATCAACACAGACATCATCCACCAAAAAATTCCAACTTCCCAAGTTTATGATACAGACTTAATAACCTAAGGCCAAAATAACATCTAAACAATCTCCAAAAGAAAAAGTTGAAAAAAACCTCTAAACAGATATTGGGGCTAAAGGAAAATAAGAAATTTTAATTGATAATGAAACCCCAAACAGCACAAAAAAATAAACATAAAATTAATGGGAACCCATTGATCCAAAATTAAAAAGCTTCCCCTGCCCCACTAGCCCAAAGGAACTTATCAGGAGAGCAATACCCTACACAAGTTCCCCTACAAAGAAATAGGAAAGAAAATATTCTCATATTGCTACATCACCCTCATAAAGGCTGAATAATACCCCCCATGAATTATTCCTATATAAAACTCAGGAAAAATCCATGCATGGAAAATCAAACATCCCCCAGTGACCCAACAGACAAAAAAAATATGTAAAATCCTTTTTCAAAGAAGAAAAAAATGGGCCGAAACCAAAACAAAATATAAAAAATAACATATTGCCTCAACAGCTCTTCAATCCCCCCACAGGGAAAGCCCAAATCT